CACCGTGCACTACTCACACCTCACTTTCTCACCTCTATGCATGGCTTTGCCCAAGCTGTTTCCTCTGCTAAGAATGCCTAATTCCTTTTATTCCATGCAAATTCCTGCTCTATCTGTCCCCACTCAGACTGAAGATCACCCCTTTCAGAGATTTCCACATTCTCCTAATTAATATGCACTTCCTTCCTCTGTGTTCTTGCTACAGCCATTCATAACTTAATAACACATTAATACACTGTATTTTATCATTTATGGATGTTCAAACAGGACTCTGTATCTACAGTGCTAGCCCAGTATCTGTCATTTGCCAGGTTTATTTACTGAATAGCCATGAGAAGGATTTGAAGTAAACTGAGCAAAGAGAAATGACTTTAAAATGAAGATTCCTCTGCCTGCCTCGCAAGCACAAGGACCTGAGTTCAATCCCTGGTACCAAAAACAAAATAAAATTTAAAAATGAAGATTCCTCCTATATTAGAAGAATTTTCCTCCAATAGATAGATAACGGTAGCCATTTAACAAGTATTTACTATAGTTTCAATGTCCCATAGGGAATTCTATTCAAACACCATACAATTTGTGCAGTAAAAACAAAGGGCCAAAAATTAAATGATATAACTGAGATCATTTTTCAAAAATAATATGCTTTTCTTTGTTTTCAGCTGAATTAATATAACTTATATTAATAAATATTGCTGTACAATGCATTTTTCTTTGAAAAGTCCAATAGTCACTGGTTGATTATTCTGCAATACAGAAGTGCTAAGAACCTACAACTTAATAACTTCCTTTTGAAAGTAGAGCTGGAGAAGCTACAAAATTAAGATTGTGTTGTCTTCTAATTCCTACCACTTAGCTAAATTTTCACAAGTTTCTTCTTTTTCTCTTTTATTAAAATAACTAAAAACAAAAGATTTAAAAAATCAGCCAAGGGTTATGGGAATCTTATGATCAAGATCAATGTAGGGCCAGGGATTTAGCTCAGTAGTTTCACCGCCTGCTGCACAAGTGGAAGGACCAGAGTTCGATCCCTGGTACCAAAAAAAAAAGAAAAGATCAATGTAGAAACGCAGAGGATTTGCATTAGGAATATTTATTTTCTCCTTGGTCAATTTTCCTTACTCATGTCACTTTTTTTCAAGATGACTCAAGTTTAATTATCAAACTAAACATTACTTTTTTTGGGTGGGGGTACATTTCTGTTAGGGATTAAACCCAGGGCATTGTACATACTATGCAAGCATTCTACCACTAAGCTACATCCCCAGTCCAACACTGTTTTTAAAAGAATTAAGTTCTTCAAACAGGAGATTCAGGGCACGGGATTTAGCTCAGTGGTTCCGGCACCTGCCTTGTAAGCACGAGGTCCCAAGTTCGATCCCCAGTACCAAAAACAAAAACAAAACAAACAGGAGATTCACGGAAAACCAAAACCATACCAAAATCACTTTGTCCAAACTTAAAAGTTTCAAAGTGGCACAAATAAAGAACAGTTTTCAAATTTGTTCCACAGCCAAGAAAACAAAGTTATTGTATTTCAAGCCAAAGTAACTGTTAAACACTGCAGTACTGTGTTTATACTGGAAACCGTGGTATTTGGTTTCTCGGTTGTTAGGACAAAATGGGCTTAGCATCTTACACAGCACACTCTGTAAAATATAGAACTTAACACTGCTGCCCCTCAAATAAGTACTATCCCTGAATTAAAAAGTTATTAACAGTTCCATGACGCAAGTTAATGAGATCTGGTTTCCCATGGAATTGAATTTTGTGGTGACAGACTAATGTGTTCACATCACTGGCCACTATACCCTTCTAATTCTAAAAGTAGATAAGACTGTACATGTAAAAATACACCAGGGAGAATCAAATTTCTGTGTTATGGGGTTCTAAGCCTTCTTTTAGGGTAGCAAAAACAGACCAATACATTTCCTTGTCAGGAAACACACAGTTTACTGCTTTTTAATGCTTCTACCCTGATTTTAAGTCACCTCCTACTTCAAAAAACAGGAGAGCATTCTGCCACCTGCCTCATAAGCATGAGGTTCCCAGTTCGATCCCCAGTACAAAAAAAAAAAAATTAGGGCCGAGGATTTAGCTCAGTGGTTCCAGCGCCTGCCTCAAAAGCACAAGGTCCCAAGTTTGATTCCCAGTACCAAAAAACAAAAAAATCAAAAAAACAAAAACAGGAGAGCAACTAAGAGGAAGGTGTCACCTGTATAACTCAACTATATTCCTAAGAAAAACTACTTTCTGCCTTCTACAAGAAATAGTAATTTAGATTAAGCCAACTTTTCTTACAAAATTGCTTCAGAGAATAACAACTCTAAAGCACTCTATATTTATTACCAGACAAAGTAACTAGACAAAGTAATCTAACACCAAAGTTTACTTAACATACCCCAGTAGCAAAGGAGACTAAAAATATCTAAAAAGCACAAGCAATTTAATCCATATTTTAAATGTTTAAAGAATAATTTGTAGCAACCTGCTAGGCATGTAAAAAACACATTCTCCCTCCCTCCCCATATATCTTTTCATAGCACAAGAGCGGTCTCATCATATTTACTTTTAATTCATATATACACACTGAAGGAAATGAAAAGAGCTAATATTTGTTTGCTTAGCTGATCCTCAGTTCTCAAGTTCATCTTGTGCCTCTCAAAATAAACACTTCCCTCATTATGTATGTTTCTAATATGAGTTGTATTTTTTACATACTATTACTGTAAATACAAACCAACTACTGTACTCACTTGGGACACTCAGGAAAAAAAAAAACAGTGGGCCACCTAGGAACTTTTTAGAGCTGGAGGTTCTACATCCAACTGAAGTTTTCCAGGGTAGCTTTGACTATAAACTACAGTGGACCTCAAGTTACGACCCGCCTGACATACAAACAACTTGGCTAATGGAAGATTCATCTGCCTCTTGTCATCTACCCAGGTAAACACAGATCTCAGCTGTACTGACTTACGACCAACTTGAGTTACAACCAGCCCCCAGGAACCGATTGAGTTCACAAGTCTAAGGTCCACTGTATTTTGCCATCTGAGCTGGCTTTAGAAACCCACACACAAACATATCCATACCCTCACTCTCCACCCTGTTCAGGTAACTCCACCCTAAGACCACATTTTTAAGAGGCTCTACTTTTTCATAAAGAAGGATAAGCTTAGACATTTCTAGCTAAATGAATGCACCTTGAGACCATACTCTTAAATGAAATAAATCTGACACACATGTTTAAATACTACATTGTTTCTCTGGAGAAACCGAAAGTGAAAATAAGGACCAAAGTATACTAGATATTGGGAAATCAGAAGGGAAGGGGAAGGGGGGGGCAAGAAAAAAAGAGAAGGAAAAAATGGAAATAAAGCTGTAAATAAGGAAGGGGAGAGGGGTCAAAGGGAAAAAAAGGAACAAGACATATCATGTACAGTACAAATTCCCTATGATAAATGTTATCATTATGTATATCTAAAATGTAGCAATAAATGTTTTTCATTACATAAATGATACAAAGCCAGCAAACTCAGTTTGGGGTGTTTTTCTTGGGGGGGTGGTAAATCTTTACAGAAGACCTACTATACACAAGTACAATGCTAGATAGTAAACACTCTACTTTTTAGTAGAGAGAAATTTTCATTCAGTAAAAAAGTTAAGCCTGGCATATGCATAAATAAGTAAAGTAACACATGGTTAATGTAGAAACTAAGCCGGCCGTGGTGGTGCACACCTGTAATCTCAGCACTCAGGAGGCCGAGGCAGGAGGATCCTGTGAGTTCAAGGCCAGCATGGGCTATATAGTGAGTTCAAGGCCAGCATGGGCTATATAGTGAGTTCAAGGCCAGAACTACATAGCAAGACCCTGTCTCAAGAAATAGTAGAAGCTAAGCACTAGAGTTCAGCAAAGAAACTAGAATAAAGCCTCAGGGAGGATCAATTTTTATAGGAATCACTGCACAATGAAAAGTGATGTAAGTTTTATAAAGAAAATCACCTTTAAGACTGCAAGAAATCACCAATTTCACATTCTAAAAATCAGATGAAAGTAAATCTTCATTTCTGGAAAAAGTGGCCCGGATAATTTAATATTGACTAATCCTCTATTTCTTGGCTAAAGATGCTAGAAAAACTTTTTTAAAAACCTCTTAAATAGAAAAGCTAGCAAGATAGTAAAGAATTTGGAGAAAATCTAGGTGAAGGCTAAAAATCAGAAATTAAGCACAATATTCAAAGTGGATTTCATCCTGAGGATTTCTGACCCGAAAGTTATAGTTTTGATGCCATTCAAAGCAACATAAACAAAAGTCAAAGCCAGGAGTCCACCCCAGATATGGTGTCTTATAACGACCTGTGTATATCTCCATGGTAATCTGGTACCAAAAAAATGAATCCTCAAGGTACTACATCCACAGGTGATGTGAAATAGCAAGAATAATGGGACAGTATAAACAGACCCAAAGCGAATTCAAAGTATGGAATTAAACATAAGGATTATAAAATACTGTGCTTACCATCTTTAAAGAAAAATCAAACTTCAAAATTAATAAGGAATAAGAAATTAAAATAGTAGCAAAACCAAATAGAACTTCCAGGAAAGAAAAAATGCTAGAGGTGTGGCTCAGCAGTACAGCATTTGCCCAGCATATGCAAAGAGGCCCTGCATTCAATTCCCAGCACTGCCAAAAAAATAAATAATAATAAATTAAAAATCAAGTAACTGAATTTAACATTTCAGTGGATGAGTTTAATAACAAATTGGAAATAAGAGAGAGTTAATGAAGGAATTTCCCAGAATGTAGTATGGAAAAGTAGAAACAGGCATAGAGAAGAGAAAATGTCTGTTGAATTAGTAAGGACGGAAGAGCCAATGGGCAGAAGCAATATATAGAAAACAGCTGAGAATTTTAAAGAACTAATGAATCTAATCCATAGCTAAAAAGTTTAATAAATACATACCAAACTGAACAAAAACAAATGATAGTTGGACTCACCACAGTGAAAATGCAGAAAACCAGAGGCTGACCAATAATATTCTTCACAGAACTAGAAAAGACAATCTTAAAATTCATATCAAATCAGAAAAGACACAGAATGGCTAAAGAAATCCTGACCAAAGTGAGCAAAGCTGGAGGCCTCACAATATAGATTTCAAGGAAGATGGAGGAGTGGTGAGCAACAGAAAAAGAGCTTCTCTGAGATTTGGGGTCCTTTCACTGGAACACAGCAGTGCGAGAAGGAGGGAAGTGGGTTCCCGGTTCCCGGGGCCCAGAAAGAATCTGAGGAAGAATTGAAGCCTATAGAGACTGAAATGAAAAGGAGGGAGGTACCAAGCAGCGCTCTCTCCCAGAGCCCAGACTCTGCAAGAGGGAACAGCAGCCCAAAACTGCAGACGCACAGTGACTACTGACAACACCAGAGGCCTCCACCGAGAAACGCACGAGTGGAGCGGAGCAGTGGATGCACCGGACTGCAGCAGCTGGTGAGTAATCCAGATTCAGACCTCACCCCGGAGAGGGTGATTGGCTGGTAGCCATCTTGGAGAGGGGCCAAATGAGCTTGATGGGATTAATCTATTTGGCTCTGGACTGTTTGCCCACAGTGTTTAACAGTGACAGCAAAGACATACCTTGAATTGGATGTTTTTGAGTTTTTTATCTTTTTTGTTTTTCCTCCTTTCTAGTTTGTGTTTTGTTTGAACAGTTTCTAGTTTTTTGTTCTGTTTCTATTTTTTCCCTCTTTCCCACCTGTCTTCATCAGTTTCTTAAAGTTTGTCCTCCAGCCTTGCTTCTGACCTCTTCCTCTTCTATTTGTTTTTTTACCCCCTAACCCCTTTTAAATCTCCCCTTAGGGTAAAAAAACATATTAAAGGCTACAATTTGTAGTTTTCTAGACCGTATTTGATGCTACTGTTATTGAGTGTACTACTTTAGCCAAGGTGACATAATTGTAGTATCAGTTGTTCCTCCGGGTATACCAAGAGATTGCCTAAGGGTTAAAAAACAAAACAAAACAAAACCCTGCAGGCCAGTGCCAAAGAATCGGCAACTGGGCCAAGTAGGCAGAAATTTCTCATCCCCAATAAATTGAAGAGGTAAGATCCTGCAACAGACTCAAAACCCAAAAGCTAGCTACACCTGCAAGAAAATTTTGAGAAGTAGTCATTTCCTAAGGGTTCTGAATATTGGCAATAAGCTACTCACCATAAGCAATTTACAAGCATCAACTTGGGAATCAAACTTAACAATATGGATTTCAAGTTATAACACAAAGCTACTGTAACTAAAACATGGCACTGGCACAAAAGCAGACATGTATGGCAGAAACAAATAACTCAATAAGTGGAATTTAATCAAAAAGTTTCTGCAAGCAAACGAAACAATCAACAGAGAGAAAAGCAAACCTACAGAATACGAGAAAATTTTTGCCAGCTACCATTCTGATAGAGGACTAATATCAAGACAGAGACCAGAGAAGAACTGAGGCCTAATTGGCCACCTCTGTGAGCACAAAGGAGAAAAGGTGTACTTAGGGAGTGACTGCATATTGCAGGTTCTAGGGAAAATTTAAGACAGCTGAGGTTAAGTTGTTTACCAGAATATGTACTAATGGATATTGGAAAGCAGATGAATCTTGTGTTACTTTGATTGCGTGTACCCATTTGGGTGAATAAAGGCAGGATGAGCCAGACAATAGGGGCTCCTCTGCCTACAAAGAGACAAGAGCCCTCTGGCTACCCGCATGTTAAACTGATGCTGTGTCTGTTATTCATCCTTGTTCACCACTGGGTTCAGGTCCAAGAACAAGGCCAGTTGGGTGGGTTGGCTACAGTTGGTGCCCCAACATTTGGCTCAGGCTTGGCTACAATAGAATAATATAAAGAACTCAAAAAATTTTTAAAAACCCCAAAACAAATGACTCAAAATGGATAAATGAGCTGAACAGATACTTCTCGAAAGTAGCGCATGTGGCCAATAAGTATGTGGAAAAAATGTTCAACATTTTTAGCCATTTGGGAAATGCAAATCAAAACTGAGATTCTATCTTACCCCAGACAGAAACACACAAAAACAATGAATGCTGGTGGGAGAGAAACATCCTACATTGTTAGCAGAATTATAAGCTACTATAACCCTATGGAAATCAGTATGGAGATTCCAGAAAGAAAAATTAGAAACTGAAATACCATTTGACCCAGCTATACCTTTCCTAAATATATTCTGGAAAGAAAAACATCATACTATAGTGATACATAACCCATGTTTATAGAAGAGCAATTCACAATAGCTAAACTCTGGAAACAGCCTAGATGCCTGTCAACAGATGAAGATGTGAGATAAATATACACACATATATAGAAGGAAATATTCACCCATAAAGAACAAAATCATGTCACTAGCAGGAAAATGGATGGAACTCAAGACCATTATCCTACATGAAATAAACTAGCCTCAGAAAGCTAAATATTCCATGTTTTCTTGTATATGAAAAACCTAAACTATAAGTGAATAAAATACAGATGATAGAAAACTAGAAGGGAGACTTGGAGATGAAGGGGAAAGGGAAAGAGGATAAAGGGATTGTTATATGCATGTAACAAATCCCTGAAAGGAACATCACTGTTCTGAACTAAAAACATGAGGTATTTTTAAAAACACATACTCTTAGGCCAGGGATTTAGCTCAGTGGTTTCGTCGCCTGCTGCACAAGCGCAAGGACCCCAGTTCAATCCCTGGTACCAAAAAAAAAAAAAAAAATTCTGTGTGAAAAAGATATTTAAGAATAAATCATACTTAAGGATGTTTAAAAAGGTGTTTAGGGGCCTGGGGTTTAGCTCAGTGGTTACGGCGCCTGCCTCAAGCACAAGGGCCTGAGTTTGATCCCTAGTACCCAAAACAAAAAGAATTTCCCCATATGAGCACAGGCAATGGGGAAAAAAATAAGAACCAAGATACATCATGTACAGGTACAAGCACCCAATGATAAATGTAAACGTATTGTATACCTAAAATGTACCAATAAAAGAATTTAAGAAGGGGAAAAAAAAAGAATTTCCCCATAAAGACCTTAAGACTTCAGCGGAGAGATAATCAACAACCTCTACTTTCAGATCCTTACCCATTGTCCATAGCTCATCTTAAGACTCCAACTGGAAGGTATAAAAGCTGCCTTTATGTCAGCTCAATTCTTTATGTCAGCTCAATTCTTTATGTCAAAAGGACTTCTAAACACTGATTCCTTTCAAAGATTTCGGAACCAGTGCCTTCCAAACCATTTTATGGTGTTCTCGTAACACATCAAGTAATCAAACTGAGGAACTGACAATCCTTATCTCACAGCCGGTACACAAATGGTCACTGGGAATTCTGACCACCGGTCTTGCATTTGGCTTCCTGGATTCCACTGTAGACCCCCTCAGACTACGGGGGAGAGGGGTGAGGGTGTGAGAGAGAGAGAATTCGCATTTAAAAATTAAAGGCCACATTAGTTCTTTTTCTCTAACGTTTAAAAATCGCAGTTACGAACAAATAGGTCTCCCATTTTCCCGTCAGGACTAACATTCCCAAGGGCCACCAACTCCTAAGACGCCTCAACTCTCGGTCTTAATCCTCTTAACTGATCAGGCGCTGGCTTGTTTTCTATTTGAAAAAAAAACAAAACAAAGCACTTAGTACAGCATCTACACGGTACACAGTGAATGTGTTTCCCATCCTGCACTTACATTCTGGGGTTCAACGACTTACACCAGGCGAGCCCACATCCCCTGAGTAGCTTGAAGCTGTTCCAAAATCTCTAGAACAGAGCTGGGGGGGGGGGTGTCTCACTTAGCAGAAAAGTAGAGAAAGCCGTCCAGAGGCGCGGAGTCGTGGGCCAGCCTCAGAGGGTCGGGGAGTCTCGCCCCCACGACTCTCAAGCCTTTTAAACAGGCTCCCTCGGCTCCGCTCAGGCTAGGCCCCGCCAGCTCCGGCCCCAGCGACTCAGGACACTGTAGAATGCGTGGACTGAGGACAGGCCTGGCCTTAACTCTTAACTCCAGCCAAGGCTCACCATCTCCTCAGAGAAGAAGCCCAGGCTGTTTAGCTGCTTGGCCAAAACCCAGGACGCACTCACCTACCAGCGCGCGGGAGGCGAGACTCCCTCACCTCGGCGGCGCCCACCCCAGACCGCCACCACCAAGGCCGCTCACTCTTAAAAAAAAAAAAAAAAAAAGGCAGGAAGAAAAAGACAGGAAAGGGAAAAAAAAGAGAAAGAAAAAAAGCCTTTGCTTTTGTATTCCTTTTGACCCTTCAGGGCTTCCTGTTCCTCACCGCCAAAGTTCCGCCCCGCTTCCGGCGGCGTAACCCAATCAACAGCTCTCTTTCGCCTCTCTAGCCCGGTGGAAATCCGGTGCTCCAAAACAAACCGGAGATACTTTATTGAGCCATTCACCTCTCAGCAAGAGGATTGGCCAACTCAAGCCCGGGGGCCGGGCTGAGCCGTGTTGTCACGTGCCATATTCCTTGAAGGATGATTGGCTGTAAACTAGAGGGATTGCCACCGAAGAAGGGGCGTTTCCTAGGTAACTGAGGGAGGGCCGGGGCGGTACGAAGCGGGGGTGGGCCCAGCGCGTAATGGCAGCGCCGTGGCCTCGCGTCCATCTTTACCCCGCTCTCTTGGACCTGTCACAAAGGAGTCTTACTGCTGCCGCTGTCCCCTACCTCCGGCGGGCCCCGGAGCTAGAGAAAGTCAGTGCCTCAGCTCTGCCGCGCTGCTCCGGGGAGTCCCGTGGGGACGTGAAGGGGAAGGGAATCGGACGCTTGAGGACGTCTGTGAGGGAGGGAAACAGCCGCTTGAGCCTGGGGCGGAAAGACCTGACTGAGGTCGGGGCAGGCTCCTGAATGGGCCGGGGAGTGGGTGGCGTTGGGCAGAGCCCGGAACACCGCAGAGAGGTCTCCACCGAGGCTCGCGCTTAAGGCGCCTGAAGAGGTTCCTGAAAGAGGGTGTTCCCCCTTTGAGGGGTCTCGACTGGAGAAGGTTCCTGGGGGTCACTCTTCCGAGGCGCTGCAACTAACGGGGCCCAGGTGAGAAGCAGGTATCTTTCCGGCAGGCTCGTGAGACTGAGTAGTGTTCCAGGGGCAAAAGGGACAATGGGGAGGACGCTTCGGGAGGGTTTCCTTTTGTGGAGTTTGCGGCTTAAATGGGAGGCTGAACTCCCCTAGGGAGATCTAGGAACGCCTTTGGGGTTGAGAGCCGCCACAGAGAGGGAGACTGGGAGAGCCAGACCTAGCGGATTTTTCTACTCCGGAGGCCGGAGCTAAAGATTAAG